CCGAGGCGGCCCGGGCCCAGTTAAGAGGAGCATGGCGGGCCGGGGTAAGCTCACGCACCAGCCGCCCCGCCCGCGGAGACCCACGGACCTTCACTGAGGCGCCGCGCTGCACCGCAGGCCTGGCATCATGACCCAGACCTTCAACAAGCCCAAAGTGAGCGCGGGTGGGAACTCGGGGTCGGAGTCTGGCTCATTGTTTGGCGCGGGCTTTAGGGACTCCACACCCACCGTGCAGACGGTGGCCCCTGCGGGCTCTCCCTACCTAGGCCAGGCATTTAATGGGCTGCGAGGGGCCTGAATCCAGAGGCTCCCCTGGCTATCCTGCTGCTGCTCCTGGCCTGGCCTCCCTGGCCTCCCTGGCCTCACTTTCACTGCTGTCAAATGGGCGTCCTAGCCCCAAGGGCTCTAGTGGCCTCCTGAGCCTTAGCAGGGGAACTTGGCCTCTCTGGGACGCAGCTGTAAAGCAGGACCCAGCGTGCAGGGCGTGTGCTCCATGCTCAGTGACTGACATCAGCTTTCCATTCCAACACTGATAATTTTGTAAGGGGAGGGTGAGCCATGTCAGGGGAGAGAGGGGACCCCCTCTCTCCTAGGGGCAGAGGGGTTGGGTGGGCCTTCGGCTCTGGTCTCTAGTAGGGCTCGCTCTGGGCCCAGCATGGCCACCGGCCCTAGGAATACAGCCTTTCTCTCCTCACACAGTCCTATCTTCGGAGTGGCTGGGTCAGGGAGGGTGCAGGCCACTTGGCTGGTTTCTGAGTGCAGATTAAGATGGAAGAAGGGAGGGACCAGCAGAATAAATCGGCTAGTAGGGTTTGAAACTGCTGGGGCTGGTGGATCAGGAGATGAGAGAATAGGCTGCAGTGAACCTCAGCTTACCTTTCTGACAAGTTGTTGTGAATGAAAATGGCAGATGTGACGAGTGTTGAGAGCCCCATGTGTGCGTGATGGGATGAAAGGGCTCTCCAAGGACGTAAGGTGTTACACTTCCCCCTCTCTGGCCCCCACTGCAGGGTAGATCCTGTAAGCCCAACGGTGCAAATGCCGGGTACTTCACCCCCGGGTACTTCACCCCTCACCTCCTCCACACCTCCCCTGGCACCCTTTTCGGTGCCCTGGAGGATGGAGGCTTTTTTCTTCCGTGCTTTGGGGTTCTCTGCCTTGGCCTAGGACGCCTCCTTACCCGGCCGCGAACACTGCAGTGGTCCTTGTGACCCTGAGAACAGGCCTATGAAGGAGGGGGACAGTTAGTAGCTCACCCTGGAAATGGGCTGTGCCTGCTTGAGGGGCATCTAGAAATTAAAAGGTGACACTTGTGAGGGAAGGGGGGGTGTCACCCACTGTTAGAGCTGATACATCGTATACTCTGCAGAGAGACGGTGTCGGAGCTGGCAGGGAAGCGAGGACTCTTGGAGCCACCGTGACCAGGGCTGGCTCCTGCCTTGCCAAGGGTGGCACAGACAATCACCAGCCTCCGTATCTGGAGCTCAGTTCTTGCTCTGGGCCAGGCCCCATCTGTACCTGTTCCCTGCATGAATCTTGGGTGCGGGTGTCATCCCACGTTGGGGATGAAGACACGGAGGGAGGCCCCGAGTTCGAGGCCTAGGATAACAGAAGAGGCCACTGGAGTCGGAGCCTTGCGGGGCTGGCTTCTAGGTCCCCAGGCTTCCTGACCTGCCTTTGGGGGTGGAGGTGCCGGTGCGCCCTGTGCTGCCTCCCTGGGGAAGGAGCCCTTGGCATCTCACACCTGCGCCAGGTGAGGTTCAGGACCTGGCCAACTTTAGGACAGAGCAGGACAGTGCCCTCTAAACTTAAATGGGGCCTCAAGACACCTGAGCTTTAAGGGTCAGCATCAGTGGGAGTTTGAGGGTCAGCCTGGAGATGCTGATCACCCCCAGGCCACACATTGGGGAGCAAGGCCCCACGCAGCCCAGACACCTGGCTCGTTATGTAAACTCTTGGTTCCTGAGCACCTGTGGGGCTCAAGGCATCGAGATGGGTGCAGGGGCAGCCCACGTCAGTGTCCACATGAGGCAGGGCCGGCTGACCCAGAGCGTCAGCTTGTGTCAGGTGCCGGTTACCGTAATAACCGCAGCTGTCAGTTGAGCGCCGGGAGTCCCGGCACCTTGGGTAATCAGCTCACGGAGTTTATGTCCACTAGACAGCTCCACGATGCAGAGGTCTTCATCCCCATTTGCTCTGAGGAAACTCAGCCCCCAGACACCGCAGTCTGAGCGCCTTTGAGCTCTGGAGCTGGCCAGGCCCGTCTGAAGGGCAGCTTCCCAACGGTCCTTCTGGTGCCGGCCAGGGTGGGTGCTAACTCACTGGCCTTTCTTGTGTGAGTAGTCTCCAACCAGGAGCAGCTCTGTTAACTTGTGGGGTGCCCGCAATGGCCCTGGAGGTGGGTCCTTGTAGCCTCATTTTGACATGGGAGGACACTGGCAAGTTCCTTCCAAGTCAACGTCACAGGAAGCAGCAGGATGCGACTTAAAACTGGAGCAGGTGCTGGCCCCTGTGCTGCTAACTTGCCTTTCCTGCTTCATGGGGCAGCAGTTTGATCAGAGTGGCCTTGGGTATCAGACTGGGCGTGGACCCTGCACCCCCCCACCCCCACCTAAGGGCTCTGTGGGCTCAGGTGGATGGGCTGAAGCCCCGTTTTCTCTGAAATGGGCTGAAGCCCCATTTTCTTCTCTGAAATGGGCTGACGTTGGCCGGCTTCTCTGGGAGGGGGCTGACTTGTACAGTGCCCTGGGAATATGGCTTCTGCTCTGGGGCAGGGGGCCTGCCGCTGTGGGCTCTGGGAGCCCTTCCACCTGGAGTGTGTCCCCTTCTTTCCTGCCACAACGCCCACTGTCAGTGCTGCTTTGAAGTAACCATAGGTAAAGGCGCTGGGAAGAGCTTGCCTCAGTGACAGTTGACAGGGGAAGGGATGAGTCTGGGTTTCACTGAAGCCTTTGGCAGAGGAAGCAAGGACCAGAGAGGGGAAGTGTGGGTCTGTGGTCACACAGCAAGCCGCCCTCCTGACTGTCTGACTTCAGGGTGGGCTTGGCATGGGTGAGAAGGGGCCTGTGAGCTGGAAGAACTTGTCCTGCCCACCTGACCTACGGGGGTGCTCTCTGGGGCTAGGAAGACAGGGGAGAAGAAGAGAGCCGGGGGGGTGGGGTGAGGGCAAAGGAGGGTTGGAATGTATTTACCAAGACAGTAGGGTAATACTCAGGCCTTAGGGTTCTCAGGCCCAAAAGCAGCAAAGTGGGGGGAAGCACCTCCAAGTTCATATGGCCAGAGGCAGAGGCGCTAAAACTTGGGCAGCAGCCAGGGCCCGATTGCTCGGGTCTGAGTGTTTCCACCCAGCTGTTGTGCTGGATTTCCCCATCTGTGAAATGGGAGTTAGACCCACATTCACCAACAACACACCTCAAGCACAGGCCTGGCACTTGGCTCCCTGGTGTGCTGGCAGTCGCTGGCCATCCTGACCAAGGGCCCTACTGGTCCTCGGTTGATCTTGCCAGCTGACTCGGCTCCATCTGCAGGTGGATGGGGCTGGGGTGTGGTCCTCCTGACCTGACGTTCCAGTCAGTTTCCTGTGCCCTGATCTCAGGCTCAGTGTTCCACCTCTAATGGGGGTCAAGCCAAGCTGTACCTTTCCCAAGCCCTCCAAGGAAGGTTGTTGCAGTCCAGCCCATGTCAGTAGGAGGCTCCGGGGAGGCCCCTTCAAGGCTGCTCCTTCCTTGAGGCCATAGAAGCCACAGGTCGGCCTAAGTGCAGAGGACTTCCTGGAGGAGGGTGACTAAAACAACTTGTCATCTCAGAGCTGTCCTGTTCCCTGCCTCACCTTAAAAATCAGCAGCGACGCGTGTTTTGAGCCCTGGTACTGCTCACCTCAGGGCAAAGAGCAGGACTGGGTAGAGAGGAAAGTTGATTGGTGGAGTACCCACGCTTCCCTAAGTCCTGAATACTGTGCCCAGATCTGGGCACTGATCAGGCATCCCTGGCCATTCTGCCCTATCTGGGTTCTCTGCCAGCTCCTTCCCTGAGACAGGAGCCCAGACCTCTGACAGGATGGAAAAGGGAAAAATAATCAGTGGTTCAATACCTACTGAGCACTTCTTGCTGGGCTGGGCCCTGTCCTGGGCACAAGGGCATTGCAGGGTAGGTAGAAAGTGAATTTAAAAGCTAATGGGCGAACAAGACAGTGATGCATTTGGGAGCCCTGTGGGTAGCCTGATTTGGTAGCCCTACCACCCTGTGGCTGTTGCGAGCAGGAATCACATCCCGCCTGTTTGTCCCAAGAGTCTAAGACCTGGGTCCTCATCTTGGCCTGACACCTTCCTTGGGCGAGGGAATACACCTCTCGGGGCCTCACCTGGCTGGCTGGCATTTCCTAGGAACACGGGCATGGCTCCCCTTGCCCCACAGTGCCCATACCTACTGGGGGTTTAGTCAGTGTATTGGTAGCTGGAGAAACTTCCTGTTGGGGGAGGGGAGTCGGCATTCTGACAGGTGCTGACTGAGTCAGCCTTGGAGGGAGGAGAGTGAGCGGGGGAAGAGGGCATGAGGTCTTCGGAGAGGTCAGAAGGCTGGGTGCAGGCCGGGGCCAGCGCCAGGGAGGTGGCTGTCGCCAGGGAGGTGGCTGTCGCCTGTGGGCAGGACTTGGTGTTAGAGATGAAGGCGCACAGCTCGGTCAGTCTGACCTGGGGCAGGTCCTGCAGCGAGGGCGAGTCCATTTCCTGGCCTGCAACAGCGGCCAATGTGTGCCTGAGAGGGGTTAAGAGTCAGTGAGTTAAAGAGGAAGATAAAGGGTCTGTATAAGCACAAAGCTCTGTTTAGGGTTGTGGTTGTATTCACATCTGAGCTGCAGGGAAAGTGGGGAGCCCAAGAATCAGAACTGGTCACATCCCGTCGTGGTGGCTGTGTAGGTGGGAGTGAAGTCCCTACTTGGTAAGGCTGAGATGTGTTGCCAGCACAGGGAGATAGAGGCCCCTCTTCTCCCGGAACGAGGCACAGAGCGGGGTCCCGGCCGGAGCATCCCTGTGGTCGGGGTCGTCCGGGGGCCTCAGGCCTCGTGGGGCTGCCTGTGGGGTGGCTCCTGCCTTTTCCTCAGACTTGCTGAGTCCCGCCCAGGAGGAGTAGGCCTGTGGCCTGGGGTCGGCCCTGCTTCCCTCGGGCGTTCTCGGCCTGCGCTGCTGTCCCTGCTGGCCTGTCCCCTCTGGACGCTACGTCAGGGCTCCCACAGCAGCCGGAGGCGCTTTGAAGTGTGACTCTTGCGCTTGAAGCCCCTTAACGTGACCAGTGAGGCCCCCTGCCTTCCCCTTCCTGACTCGCTCTGGCTTTCTGCTGCTGCCTCTGCGCTCCGGCCAATTCATGATGCTCTGCCCATGGCCCCTGGGCCTGGCGTCCCTCCCAGGCCAGCTGTGTCTCTTCTGTGATCCTCGCTGGAGGCTTTCTAAATGGTACACACACACTGTCTTTCTTGTGGCCCTTGGCCCATTTCTCTAACTTGGAGGAGGTTGTTCACATACCAGGTGGACTGGCCATCACCCTCTGGACATTGCCAGTTGCTGCAACCGAGTGGAGAGGGCTCTGGGAAGCCCCATGTGCTCCAGCCAGGCTCCCCCAACCCACACAGCCACAGAGGGACAGTTGGCACCAGGGACCACCCCCCTTTCTACCTCGCCTTCCAGAAGCTCCCTCCAGGCCTCAAGGCCAGCGTGGTCTTCATTTTATCCCCCTCTCCCTACCTTTTAAGCACAGGCAGCTCTTCTCTCCACTTCCGTCACCCCATCAACATGTGCACACGCCTGAGCCATCCCTACCTCCACAGAAACCATTCCTTGGCCCATACTGACCTCCAGCCGCCTCCTGGGAACTTTCTTCCTCTCCAAAGATTAAATTCTTGAGCATAGCCTGAACTTTTTACTTTCTTCTACTTCTTCCGGGCTAGGGAGCTTAAATTTCATCTCGTGGGGTGGGGAGAGAGGGGGCGATTTCCCCCAACAACACTGCACCTGGGCATGAGTGCAGGCTGGATGACGCCAGAGCACTGACTGCGGAGGCCTGGCCCTGTCATGGGGTCAGCAACCCCTGGCCATCTCCCCGGAGCCAGGCAGCCACTTTCCTGTCCAGGTCCCCAGCTGTCAGGGAAGGCCCACCTGGTGGGGATGTCAGCTGAGTTCTCAGCATTTCACGCCTGGCTTCCTCCATGACCTGGTACAGGAGGATCTCAGAATTGCTTTCCCACTGGAGAAAGAAGGTAGTCTGGGGGGATGTGGAGGCCTCATTTCTAAGCTGAAGCCCATGTCTTCTGCCTTCTGGGCCTCTGGTTCTGGTGCTGCTGCTGGGGGCCCAGCTCATACTCACCCCACCTTACACCCAGATAGCACCACTTTGTTGCTCAGAACATCTCCCAGAAAAACCCTGCCTCTGTCTCGGCCGTCTGCCTGTGCCCTCTCAAATCCTCACGACTGTTTTTGGACAGGGGAGCAAAAATAACCTGTTTTTCTAGCTGAGAAAACTGAGGTTCAGAAATGATCAGAAAAGGGCCAGAGCCTGGAGCGGGACCTGGTGACCAGGCTCCAAAGCCTTCACCCTTAGCCCTCGGCTTTGCTCTGTGAGGCGTTCATGGGCTAAACAGTTGACCACCAAGGTGTCTGGTGCACACACTCTAGGGTTCTGGAAACCTCAGCTTTAGTGGAGCATAGCTGGCTGCTTTTGAGAATGGAGCCTAACCATGGAGACTGGGGCATTCAGCCCACACGTGGTGCTGAAGTTGGACTTTGTCTTGGGGGCTGGATGAGAGCAGGGTCTGCCTGTGTGGTGCCCCCGGCTCAGCGGCTCCTACAGGCCCCAGACAGGCCTTGGGTTTTAAAAGCACAAGCTTCAGGGGCAAAATAAAAATTTAAATAACACGCTTCGGAACTGGCTGGGTTGGGGTTCTGGCTCTGCCCCTGGGTCTGTTCAGGTTCCTGCTTCCACCACTTGCTGTGTGGCCTTGAGCAAGTGCTCTACCTCTCTGGGCCTCAGTACTCACAACTGAAACGGAGCAAGGAAGCTCACCCCACAGAGTGGCGGTGTGAACGTTCTCTGGGTGGGTGTGAGTGTCCTGTGAGCAGGGACTGGCCATCCTGGCTCACACTGGCCCTGGGTTGGCAGTGACCCCCAGGAGGCCCTTCAGGCTTCATGCGGGCTTGTTCTCTCCTCCCCCTGTGCAGGTGGAGCTGCATGTCCACCTGGACGGAGCCATCAAGCCAGAAACCATCTTATACTATGGCAAGTAAGTCCCTGAGTTGAGAAAAGGCCTCCTCCCCAGGACGTGGGCGGCGTCCACTGTCAGACCTGGAGGTCTGTGGGAGGTCAAGGTCGCTGCTCTCTTCTGCCTCCCCTGTGGGTTTAAGCCCTCCTTGGGGGGCAGATGGTGGTCGCTGGGGGCACGAGGCCTTCTGAGATCCACAGCCCTTGTCTTCTGCCTTCTGGGCCTCTGTCCTGCCTGGTGAGGCTACTCGGACACATCTGGACATGTGGACGCAGTTCCAGGGCTGAGCCGGTCAGCAGCAGCTGTGCCTCAGTGACCGGGCCTCTTCTGGAGCCTGTTGACTCTTGACATGGAGGAGGTCTTGGCGCTGCAAACCCCCCTTCTAAGGGGAGCGCAGAGGCCACCCCAGAGTGGACGGTAGAGCTGGCGGGTGGCCCCCAAGGCTTGTCCTTGACCACCATGGAAAATACCTTGGTGCCCCCTAGCCCCGCCCACTCCTGACATCCCCTCCCCTTCCCAGTGAGCCCCCTGCCGCAGCGACACAGATGGGGTGGGCTAAGGTCCCTCAGATCCCAGATCTACCCCCTTCTTAGCCTCAAGGACTCGGGTCCCTCCTGGGCCCAGCACTTCAGGGCAGGAACTTTGGAGGCCAGGGGGTCTGGAGTCAAACCCAGATTCCTGTCTCCTTGCTGAGATCTTGGCCTTGTAGTTTGGGGGTGGGGTGGGGACCAGCTTCCTCCTGATCTGGAGGTGGAGGTGGGATCCCTCCTGCCACCCGCCCCAGCAGCCCAGTTTCTTCCTGCTCACCCACATGTCCTGTTTGTCTGGGAGGATTAAGTTGTACTTGTCTGCTCTGGACCCAGAGTCCAGCACTCTGCTCCATAAACCAGATCCCCTCTTGTAGGGAAGAGCCTGGGGGACCTGGGGTGCCCTCAGCACCCCCAACTCCCTGAGAGTTCAGACCAGAAGACAAGCCTCTATCTGTCACAATTCCGGACTCTTCTGTCCTGGGAAGGTGCTGCTTGACTTGATCTGCCAGCACTGCCTTCCGGCTGAGGCCCTGAGCCCTCACGACTGGGAGCAAACTGAGCCAGGGTGGGCGAGGTGACTTGCCTGGTGAGTGCCAATCCACACCCACCCTTGACCCCACAGCTAGAGTGCCGGAAGTGATTCATAAGTGCCTGTTAATGATGTCACAGCCATGGGGCTCCAGTGAAGTGGCAGAGGCCGCAGGGCTTATCTCTGCCCTCCTGGCCTGTGGAGCCGCCAGCCATTATGGCGGCCCTAATGCCCTCGTTATGTTAAGGGGAAGGATGTCCTAAAGGAACTCTGCAGTCTTCTGGGTCCCACCCCCTTTGGTGCCCACATTGGGTGCCAAAAACTGTTTCAGGGTAGCCCAGAGTGGACTGGGCCACCTGTTGGTGGGGCCTCATCTGCACGCTCACAATTCAGTTACACTGCAGGTGCACACAAGGGTCAATAATGGGTTTACAAAATGGGAAAGGAATAGGAAACAACCCAGGGAAAGAGAGCGGGATACAAAGTGACTGGAATACCTTACTGGCTCGGCTGACTGAACACACCTGAATCACCCGGTCCAGAGAGCCGTTTCCCAGGCCAGAGAGTGAGAGATGCACTCGTGCCTTATTTATCCCCCAAATGTCCCAGAATTCCTGCTAGCTCCACCCTTTGGGTCCTCGCAGTTCTCTCCCTGGTGCTGCTGGGAGTTGTAGTTTCCAATCACTGGAGTAGGGGGCAGGGTCCAGAAAGCTGGAGTAAGGAGTGGAGTCCACAAAACTCTGCAGAGTTCCTTTAGGACATCCTTCCCCTTAACAATTAGGCCAGTTTGTTATCAGGCTCTGAGCTGGGATCTAATCTCAGGTCATTCAGGGACCATAGGGCACTCATTAAGTGGGAGAGGAAGGGAGCCTGTCAGGGTGGGGTGCAGGGAATAGGGAAAGGAGCCACCCTGTTGGGCGGGTGGAGGGGGTGTCCGTTTCCCCCAGTCACCTGGGTGTCTGGGTGTTGGTGCCCGGGTGGGTGCCAGATGGAGTTTGCTCTCCTGCCAGCAGCCAGACTCTGTTATGGACTCCCGGCAAGGAGGAGGAGGGGAGCCTCTGGCTGTGACCCCATCCTGGACCCTGCCTGCCTGCCTGCCTTGAGGACCTCACCAGTTTCTTCCTCCTTCAGCTCCTATGAATCCTCTTGGGGGTGGGGGTGGTGGTGCTGCTGCTGCTTCCTCTTTCTCAGCTTCCTTCAAGACCCTGCGAGTTCTTTTCCAAAGCAGTGTGAATCTGGTTGCTTTATTCTCCCTGGTCTGAGCCTCCAGCGTCCCTCCCCAGAACCATGGCCAAGGCCTCTGCGCTGGTCTGCAGGTGTTCACTCTGGCCACCTCCTGCCTGCTGTCCCCACAGTACTGCAGTCAGAACGACGATCTTCAAACAGTCTGAGCTCACTGCCCTGTTCAGCCCTGCCCCACCCCCACGCCCATTCTGCTCAGGGTCGAAGCTCATGTCTGCATATGGCCCTAAAAGTCCTCCAAAGTCCTCAGACCTCTTCCGCCCAAATATACCTGATACAGTAAACAGAGAGGTTGAGTAACTTCTCCAAGGTCACACAGCCTTTAAGGACTGGAATTTAAACTGGATCATCAGGCTTCAGTATCTGCCTTCCCCCAGGCGCACACAGCCTTATTAGCGCCCCTCCATACCCTGGAGAGAGAAGACTGTTACTGACAAGGACACATGAAGGGCAGGGTGGGAGGGCAGACTGTGAACACCCGCGCCTCGGCTCATCCTCCGTTGCTGGGCACTGTGGCAGGGCTCATTGTAACTGCCTCCCCATCAAGGGGGGCCGAGAACTGGCCAGTGCCCTGGGGCATGGCCGTGACTGACCAGGGAGGTAGAACCATTGAAGAGAACAGGGTGGCCTGGGAGGGCAGGAGAAGCGGGGCCCTGGAACAACTCCTTCCTGCTTCAACTCTGGGCCCAGACAGGAGCTGTGCGCTGTGAGCGGCTCCTGGAGGCCTCGGCTTGGGGACCTGGAGTCGCTGTGCTGCTGGTCTGCTGGGGCCGGAGCAGCTCTGGGCCTTTTGTCCTGGTTTCCCTCCAGTCCCCGAGCGAGCAGTAGCCAGCAGCAGCTCTTCAAGTGAATGACTTCACGCTGCTCCCTGCTTACCTCCTCCAGTGGCTTCTTGGTGCCTTCAGGCTGAAGTCCCACCGGCCACTCAGGAAGCCACCGCCACCCTGCCCGGGCTCATCAGCTCCCGCCAGCTGGCTCTGACTCCAGCCCTTTGCCCGGCTCCGAGCCGCCTCGCCACTTCTGCCCCGAGCCCGGCTCCCACCCCTTCTGCCCCTTTCCCCTCACCACCTTTCTGCTCCGACCTCCCCTCCTCTGGGAGGTCTTCTGGGCCACTCTGATCCAAAGATCCCTCTCAGGGGCTGTTGATGAGCCGGAGAGGAAGGGACTAATGGGAGAAATATTTAGGAAGTAAAAACAACAGGACTTGGGGCCCGGGAGATGGCAGCTGGGGGAGGGGCCGGCTCTGGCTCGGAAAGAGCCAGTCTGGAAAGAGGAGTCTGGGAGGGGACAGGCTGCCTCCAGGGGTGGCCTCTGCCGTCCACCTGTGCCCTTTGTAGACCCTCGTGGTGGTGCCTGAGTGGAGGGCGGGGTGGGGAGCTGCGGTCTGCTGAGCCCTGAGCGGACACCCAGGAGAGTTCACCTGGGCAGGTGTGTCAAAGGCAGGTGGGAGGACCACACGGGGCCGCTGCGCTTGGCAGTGTGAGCCACAACCTGCGCATCACCTCTGCAGCCTCCACCCGCTCCCGGCAAGCTGTGCGGTGACCGCGACAGACTCTGCAGGAGGCAGCTGGGGGGTCCCATGCCTGCCGGGGGTGGGGCAGGCTGGCCAGCGACGGTTGAACACCTGGTCTCTGGCTGCAGCGCCATGTCGGGGTGCCATGTCACAGGGGCAGGTGCCAGGGGATCTCTGGGTGGGACCCGCTGGTCACTAATGAGAACTTGGGGATCCCCCAAATGGGGAAGAGGCATGTTTCAGGGGGCTCTGTAGGACAGTGTTTAATAACAGCTGTCAGATGACTTGAACGCTGGTTCAACTTCTGTGATTTCCTCCCCTGTCCTGGCTTCATGACTAAGCAGATACCTGTCTGATTTAATCATCTAACTTTTACCTCCTGGTCTTTGTTCTGCTTGCTGGAGGATGTCCTCAGCTTTATTTTCCATTCCTTGGATGACATGGGAGGTTGCTGCCACTCTCAAACAGCCCAGGCCCCTCTTCAGAAAGGGCTGTCTTGCCTCAGGGAGGTCACACCCTCCGAGTCCCCGGATGTTCTTTGAAGTTTTCCTCTGCCCTCTGAATTGCTTGCGGAGTTCCACTGGCTACTTGTCCCTTGCTGGAGCAGCATTTAAGCATCTGTGTTCTTTGCCTGTCCCTTTTATCTTAAAAGTGGAAAAACGGGGGCCATGAACTGGGCCAGAGCCAGGGGGTGCACCACCCAGCCCGGCACCTTGCTGCTGGTGGCTGGGAGGGGCGCCAGCCAGAGACTTCATAGTAAGCCCTGGGTGAGGGGTGGGCAAGGCGAGTGGCCAACTCCCAGGCCCTCTCCTGGCACGCTGGGCCGGGCCAGGCTCTGATGCGCCTGGTGGCCGGACAGGACGGGAGGGAGGTTCTACCTCTGCCCAGGACATCATGGTGCCACAGCCTTTGACGCTGATGACCCATGACCTCTGGCCTAGGGTCAGCTGCTTCCAGGGGCTGGGTGGTGGTGGGGGGGGAGTTGCGGGCCTGTCCCAGGGAGCAGGCCCCCGGCTGCCTCCCTTCAGACTGACTGGTGTGGGCTTTTACACAACCGGTGCAGGAAGGACTCGGTCCTAGTTCTCCCCCCGAGCCTCCGTTTCCCTGTGTCCAATGGGAGGAGTGTCCGATGGAGAGATCCGGATTTCCTGCTGGGGTCCTGTAAGGGTTCTGCCTGGGCAGTTTACCATCCTACTCTTCTGTCCCCAGGCAAAGGGGGGTCAGCCTGCCGGCTAACACGGTAGAAGGCCTGAAGGACATCATCGGCATGGACAAGCCGCTCAGCCTTCCAGAATTCCTGGAGAAGTTCAACTACTACATGCCAGCCATCGCGTGAGTCTGGCCAGGCCCAGCTCTCTTCTCGCTATTATTTGTGCTTGGGTCAACCTCTACCCCCAGGGGTCTTGGTATTCCAGGCTGGAAAGTGGGTATGGCGAACTGAAATTCCTTCAAGGTGGCAGGTGTGGAGCTTAATAACACACGTATCAGCATCAGACCTCCACGGAATAACTGACCGTCCCAAGGCAGTGGGGCCTGGGGCATGGTCTTCAGGGGCAGTGGAGGACTCCATTGCCTTCAGGTCCCTCTTCCCTGGAAGATAAGCGGTGCCTTTGACAACCACCCTCTCTTGCATGCTTGTTACCTTTCTTTTCTTCACAGAACAGCTGTGGTTCTTTCAGTGACCTGAGGGACTTTTTCGACCTTAGAAGATCATAATGTGTACAGTTCACACAACTGTCTTTGTAGTCGTCCACATACCTGCTAAGTGGACACTTCATTTGCAGAGGAGGGAACGCAGGCCCAGGGAAGTGGCGTTTGCCCAGGGCCACATAGCTGGAAAGGGCTCGAGCCTAGGATTTCCTCCCTCCCTCCACCTCACCCTAGTGTCACCTCGTTACCTGGTAGGAGACCCTTTCCTAAGCGGGCAAGAGTCAAGACTTTGCAGTCAATGCTGCAGGAAGAGGCTGGAGACAAAGGATGGGGCAGTCAGGGGAGTCTGCCTGGAGGAGGAAGTATGGCGCAGGCCTGGGGATGGAGACCGGTGATGGTCAGAGGGCCAGCACTGAGGGAGGGCTTGAGGATGGACCGAGCCTGGGCTGTTGCCGGACCGGTGACGAACACATAGGAGGCAGCAGAGGCCGTGGCAGGGTTAGGGGCCAGGCAGGCTTGGGGAGTCTTGGGCAAGGAGTCCCAGGGCTGCTGGCTTCTTGGGCAACTTTCTGGGATCTTCTGGAAGTCTGCCCGAGTTTTGTGCTTGCTGAGAAGCACCTGGCCACTCCCTGAACACACCCACGCCAGGGCTTACAGGCAGGGAGGGCCGTGCGTGGGCCAAGGCGCCTCCCGCATCACCCCAGCCTCCTGCAGACCCACACTGGCCAGGCTGTTGGCCCCGGAGACCTGACTTCCCCCACCCCTTGCTGCCACCCACAGGTGGCAGGTGGGTGCCTCCCCGCCCCCTTGGGCCTCTCCCGCCCCAAGCACAGGGGCCTCCCGCGGCGGCACTGCGGGCACCCAGGTCAGCCCCAGCTCAGTGCGTGCCCTTCCCCCCCACCTGGAATGCTGCTTGGGAGCTGCCGCTCCTCTCCAGCTCTCCAGCTTCCCTCACACAGCGAGGCCTCCTGGACTGTTCTGAAAGTGTGGTTTCCCTCCCACTCGGTCTCTGTCCTGCTGCTGGTTTTGCTGTGTTTATTCACTCGCTTGCCTCTGCTAGGACACTGCTCCGTGAGTGCAGGGGACGTCTGCGTGAGTGGTTTCATGGCTGTCGGGGAAGTGGGGACAGCCCTCGGCGCCAGGCTTGGGCCCAGGGTCCAGGCCTTCCCCACAGGGGGGGACACGGGCACCGGCTGCCCTTCCTGACCCCATAGGCTCGGGGTCTTCTCGGGACCGTGGTCCTGCGGTGGCCAGGCCCCTCTGGGCTTGTGGGGCGCCTCCCTCCTGAAAAGGGCTTAGTTACCAGGCCTTTGCACTCTTCGTGGGGGAACTCCCAGCTAGCGGGGTGGACGCTGCCCCCGCAGCCCCACAGCGCCTTACTCTGGGGCCGGCCCTCAAGTAACAAGCAGAATTCTTGGCACTTGTCTGCTCCGAACGAACGCCGGCCCTGGTGAGTCTCATGGGGGTGATGAAGTCGAGCTCGTCTGTCCTCACGATCACTGGTGTCAGGGTGACGACTAGCCAGGAGTCACACCGCAGGTTCATGTGGGAACAAATCCCCCACGGATTTGTTGCTCCCCTCGAGCTCTGCCCCCACTCCCCGGCTACTGGGGTGTCAGCTCCATGTCTTGATCTGCGTACACGCTGTGAAATGCTCACAGGCCGGCTAGTTAACCTTCACCGACTCTGGCGGTTCCCTGCGTGGTACGAACGCTTGGGCTCCCTCAGAGGACACGTCCCAAGTGCAGAGCACGCTGGCGCGTCCTCGTCTCAGGCCTCCGGAATGTTCAGCTTGGCGGCTGAGGCTTTGTGTTCTGGGGCCCAATGTCAGCTGCGCACTCCGGCCCCCACCACTGGGCTTTCCCAGTCTGATGGTTTGAGATCCACACAGGACTGAGACAAGGCGGTGTTTGTCTCCCTGTGTCTGGCTTATATCACGTATCGTCGTGGTGGCGGGGCGGTGTGACACTGTCCGGTGCATCCAGCCCTGGACACCGGGTGTTCTCCCATCTGCAGCGAATGATGCTGCAGGGAACTGGGTGCAGCTGTCTCCTCAAGTACTGACTTCAACTCCTTGGGATAAGGACCCAGAAATTAAATGGCTGCATCAGCTGGGACACACTTTTCTTTTTTTGAGGCCCCTCCCTACCGTTTTCCGTAGGGCTGCGCCAGCTGCCTCCCCCCACCGAGCCCGTTTTCCGCCCAGCCTCTCCCAGCCTCTCCCACCCGCACCGGTCATTTTGTGTCATCTGCCCTGATGCCCAGCAGTTAGGGTTTGCGCTTTCCTGGCACCGAGGCTGGGCAACGTCTCATGTCCCTCTTGTCGCCGGGACGTCTTCAGAGGATTCTGTTCCGGTCCTTTGCCCATTTCTCAATGGGGTTAGGGTTTTCTGCTAGGGAGCTGGCTGAGTTTCTGCTAGTGCGGACACTGACCCTATCACGCACGGTTTGCAAATCCCCGCTCCGCTCCATTCTGTCGTGTCCTGGGCACGTAGATGCGCCCCTAGCTTGGTGCGACCCTGGGCCTCACTGTGCTTCACTGTGGCCTGTCCCTTCTCTTCCTGCCACTTCCCGGCCATCACTCAAGGGCTTGACCACCCCGCCCTTGGCCGAGGGGTCCTTGCCCCGTGGAGACTGTTCTGCAGCGCAGGGGAGAGTCGGCCACGGACGCCACATGATGTGTAATGTGGGGTGGGGATCAGGAACCCGGGAAGGGTGGAGGGTGGCGGGGCCCTTTTAAAGATAAGGGGGGGGGCTCAGAGGGCCTCTGAGGTGGTGCAGCAGGAGCTGGGGAGCACAAGAGCCCTGACAGGAAACCAGCCCCACAGTTCCCTGCACAGAAAGGAGGCTCTGCGGGCCTCCTGGGTGCGTGAGAAGGTGGAGGGTGCAGGCCGACAGGGCTGCGTTACGTGAGTCAGGTGGCCGAGATGGCCAGAAGCCACGAGGGCTTACACACAGTCTTCTCTAACCTGCGTTTTTAAAGACTGAGAACAGCCATACGGGGCAAGCACCGAGATGGGAGGCTGGTTAGCATGGAGGGGTTAGCGCTGTGCTTCTAGGACCTTCTGCAGCAGATGCCCAGAGCCAGGGGCTGAGGGTTTGGGCTAGAAGTGGGCTTGATGTGCCCAGAGTTGGGGAGGGGTGTAACCTCTTTGCTCCTGGAGGTCCCAAAGGCTGGCGCAGGTTAGGAGCCCCTCTCTCCCTTTCCAGGGGCAGCCGGGAGGCCATCAAGAGGATTGCCTACGAGTTTGTGGAGATGAAGGCCCAGGAGGGTGTGGTGTACGTGGAGGTGCGCTACAGCCCACACCTGCTGGCCAACTCCAAAGTGAATCCGATCCCCTGGGGCCAGAAAGAGTGAGTGAGCGCCTGGGCCACCCCATCTCCGCACAGGGCCAGGTGGCCAGCCTGAGGGACAGCCAGCCACGAGGCCCTGACGCAAGCACAACCTTGCTCCCCATCCTATCCTGGGGCTCAGAGGGGTTTACTCTGGTGCAAGATGGGGCTCTCGCTCCTCGTGGGGGTTTAGGCTTTTACCTTGGACAGAGGTGTCCGTTCTTGTCTAGTTCTGGACACAGGCCTGCTGTCTAGGGGTGTTAACTGCGTAGCTCGTGACTTCCCAGGGCCCCTGCTGGAACCCCCCCAACAAAGAAGCGGGGTCTCTGAGTGGTACCACGCTGCCACCTTGCCCCTCTGGCAGATCTCTGCAGACAAGTGGGAGCCAGACCAGGTCCGGGCTTAGCAGATGCTCCCATGCCAGAGAAAGCAGGCCACACTGACCCTGCACGGGGACAGCCCTGCAGGGCGTGGGTGTGCCCCGGCAGGCTGAAGGGACGTGGAAAGCGGGTCCTGGAGTCCGTCCGGGTCAGTGTGGGGGGGCCCTCCTGGAAGACTGCTCTTCTCCTCCCCTCCTGTTCTCCCCCCCACGTACCTGTCTTCTGCCTTTGGGTCTTCATTTGCCTCAAGTGCTTTCCTCCTACCCTTTCCCCGCACAGGGGGGACGTCACCCCTAGTGATGTGGTGTTCCTCGTGAACCAGGGCCTGAAGGAGGGGGAGCGAGACTTCAAGGTGAAGGTGCGGTCCATCCTGTGCTGTATGCGCCACATGCCGGGTGAGTGTGGCCCTGCCCCGGCCCCAGGCTGCAGGGTCTGCTGTGGGTGGCCAATTGAGCCTGCCTGCAGGAGCTTCTTAAAACTCCAGAGCCTCCTGGGCAGGCTGAGAACTTGCCGGCACAGACGTCTCTCCCAGGGAGACCAGGCCTTGGCAGACCTCTGACTGGCAGGAGACGCAAAACTAAGAAGCCCAAACAGTAAAAGTCTAAGTTTACACTCCCCCCCGGGGCCCTGTGGGCCAGGCCCTTTCCTGTCTGGGCCACAGAACCGTGCCTAGGTCTGGCTTGCAGGCGTTCTGGGGCTCAACCCTGTGATGACACCCGCTGGACTCCGGGCGCAGGGATCCCCTGGGCCTCGGACGCTCGTCACGCAGGGGAGTGCACTCGCCCCGCTCTGGGCTCTGAGAACAGCGAGACTGCCAGCGGCTGGTGGCCGGCCAGCCGCAGCAGAGCTTGCCAGGGGGAGCTGCTCCCGCCGCCTTCCAGGTGGGACCACGGCTCTTCACGCCCACTTCCGGAGGACACCGAGGTGGCCATGCGAAGCCTCTTGCTCCTCGCTCAGGATGGGCCACCTGGCTCTGAAGCCTGTGCCTGTGTTTTCAAACATTGGGTAGCTAAGAGCACACGGTGTGTTAGCACTGAATCTAGTGATCCTGGGAGTTATTTTCTGTCGAAGTGATAAGCAGTGGGCCGGCATCGCCTCGGGGGCTCGGGGGGGCGAGGCCCACGGGTGCTGGCTGGAGGGTTCCGTGAGAGGACAGCCTCTGTCCTTTAGGAGCCCAGGCAAAGCCTCGCCCACCCTGCGCGGTAGCCAAGGGGAGAGGAGCAGCCAGAGCAGCTTGCCGTGGGCCGCGCCGCCAGGCCACGGGAGTTGGGATTGGAGGTGGACACTGGGTCCTCTGTCCTGCGCTGGCCTCTGGGGGCGGGGGCTCTCCTGTGCTCCCGACAGAGGCCCGTGGGTGTGTGGCCCACAGAGTGGTCCCTCGAGGTGGTGGAGCTGTGTAAGAAGTACCGGGACCAGGGTGTGGTGGCCATCGACCTGGCAGGGGACGAGACCATCACGGACAGCAGCCTCTTCCCGGGACACCTGCAGGCTTACCAGGTGGGTCCGGGGAGGGCGGGGCGAGGGCCGGTCTCGCCCGCCACAGGGAGAGGCCACATCCTCGGCTTGCTCAAGACTTCTGGGCTCATGTGTGACGTCGGGAGTTGGGGTAAAGCCCAAAGGAGAACTCGGTTGGGAGTCCCCTTTGGGCTAGTTTCTGCTCATGACCTGCTGTGGCCTCGAGCGGGGCTGTTCTGTCTGCTGGGAGGACGGGCGGGAGCAGAGGCAGCAGCTTCACAGCGCACTTCCCGCGGAAGGGGCAGAGCAGGAGGCGCAGGGGCTGGGCTCTCGTGCCTGGGCTTGGGGGCACCCTTCTGCCGTGTGATGCTTGTAAGCCGTTTTCCGCAGTGCCGGACACGGAGCTGCTTAGCAAATGCCTCACACTTAAAAAACAATGAAAAACCAAAACGAAACACAGGCTCCCCCACCTTGAAGCCTGGGGCATGCTTCCAGACGGCCAAGGCCCAGCCCCAGAGTGTGGTGAAGGCGGGCCTGCTGGGACCTTCTCCTGGGCACCCACAGCCTGGCACTTGCCCTTTCAGGAGGCTGTGAAGAGCGGCATTCACCGCACCGTGCATGCCGGGGAGGTGGGCCCACCGAAAGTGGTGAAACAGGTGAGCAGGTCGGGCTGGCGTGGGGCCCTCCTGCGGCCTCCTCACCCACCCCCACCCGCTCCTGGGCTCACTCGGCGTCTCTGCAGGCTGTGGAAGACCTCAAGACGGAGAGGCTGGGGCATGGCTACCACACTATAGAGGACCCGGTCCTTTATAACAAGTTGCTGGCAGAAAACATGCACTTTGAGGTGAGGGGGAGGGGTGATGGCAAGGTCAGGGGGGCCCCAGGGCAGAAGGAGCCAGGGGGGTGTGATGAGTGGGCACCGAAACTGCCTGCTGGTGGGGGAGTGGGACTGGACAGCGGACAGGCCACAGCCCCCCGCTGGTGGCTCCACAGCCGGGGGAGCGCCCCGCTTGGTGCGGGGTGCTCCGTGCCAGCCCACACCTGCTCTTTCAGGTCTGTCCCTGGTCCAGCTACCTCACGGGCGCCTGGAAGGCAAACACGGAGCACGCCGTGGTTCGGTGAGGCTGGGCCTCTGGGGTCCACCCGGTTTTGTATCAGGGCAGCTGAGGCTGGGAGGGAATGCACCCTCCAAGGCTTGGGATGTGAAATGGCTTCAAGCCCCTGGGGAGGAGGCGTTCCTGCCCTCGGCCTACACATAGGACCCCACGGCATGGTGTGCTGTGATCTGACCGAGGTCCCCGCCAGCAACTCAGAGCGGGCCCTGAAGCTCGTCTCGCTGTCGCAGCCGCCCTGCTGCGCCCGGGAAGCTTCCACCCCAGACTGTGCCTTCCAGGCGCCAGGAAAGGGAGCCCCTCCTGCCTGCCAGCCGCCCCGCCCCCCAGCACCACCTTGACAACCTGCCCTGGAAGGCCTGCCCGCCCCACCGTGAAGTCCAACTTGGCGACCTTGGCCCATCTTTGAGCTGTCTTGGGACTGAACCCTGGGGCTAGCACCCGGCTTCAGGGCAAAGCTCCCTGTCTTTTCAGCAAGAACTTGGGGTGCCTGCCAGCCTTCCAAGATGGGAAGGAGCTGGGGCTCTGGCTTCAAGGGGCTTCCGAGGCCTGTACTAGGGACGCGGTGGGGGTGGTGTCTGTGGGGCCCCCCAGTGAAGGTTCTGGGAGGCTTGTGGGATCCGGCCCGGGGCCTGGAGACTCGGTCGTCTAAGCAGACACACTGATTGAAGTGTGGGGAGAGAACCCAGAAAGACCGTGACATTGCGGGGACAGGCGGAAAGTGCTGTGGCCCAGAAAGCGAGGGGCGCTCCGAGAACAGCCAACAGGGTCATCACCCCTCGGAACAGCGCAGTGGAGTTAGCAGGATGAGGTCGGGGTCTCGTTAGGAGCGGATTCCACGGGTGCGTGGAAAGCCAGGTCCCGGCGGGACAGAGGATGCTGGGCTCTCCCGGTGGCTGCCGTGAAGGGGAAGGCGAGAGGAGGCGGCGGGTGGCTGGACAGGGTGCTGCCCCGGGGGGCTCCCAAGCCCCCTCTCCACTTGCCCTTGCACCAACCCCTCCTCGGCAGGGTCGGCAGGTCCAGGTCAGGTCACCGAGCTCTGGGTTTTCCTCTCTCTGCACTGCATATAGGACAGGCCTTTTCGGGCGTACCTCAGGGGGCTCAAGGGAGGTGTTGCCAGGGGCAGAGGGTCACAGAGGAGTGAGAGGTGCCTCCCCCCACTGCCACCCCACATCCAGGTTCAGGAGGGACAATGCTAACTATTCCATCAACACGGACGACCAGCTCATCTTCAAGTCCACCATCGACACTGACTACCACATGCTCAGAGACCTAATGGACTTCACTGAGGACGAGTTTAAGAGGCTGGTGAGTGGGCTCCGGCCCCGCCGGCTGTGACTCTGAGCTTCTGGGGGCCTGAGCCTCTGGAGTTGAGGCCCCCGTAAGACCTCTCTGGCCGACCACCTCGCCTCAGCCGGGTGTCTCATCCTTGGAGCGCCGTGGCACTAAAAAGCCGTCAGTGGCTCCCCAGAAAGGGCTGCGTTCAGCTGTTTCAGGCTGCAGCTCCCAGGCTGAGCCCTTGACTTGCGGGGTGGTGACCCGAGTGCACCCTGCAGGAGGGGCTCTCTAGCCCCTGTGTCCCAGAGGCCCCCAACACCCCCCGTCTCACATCTCCCCCACTTGGAGAACACAGCCCCTGCCTCTGCGCTGGCCCTTGCCCGCCCAGACGAGCCGCTCCCTGGGCTTGATCGCTCGTGTTCAGCAGAGGCCGGAGTGTGGCGAGCTTGCCGCCTCCCTCCCTGCCCCCTGGTTCCATGCTGCCTGCATTCTGGCCCTTCCAGAACATCAAATCGGCCGAGTCCAGCTTCCTCCCAGAAAATGAGAAGAAGGAGCTTCTTGATCTGCTCCACAAAGCCTATGCGATGTAACCTGCAGCCCCTGCAGGTACGTTCGTGGCCGGCTGCTGGGCCTGCGGCAGCAAGGGCCACCCCCTGCCTCCGTGGGCAGCCCCACGGTGTGGGGCCTCCCCGGTGGCCGCCTGGGGCTAGGTTTCTGGGTGCTGGAGGCTGACCTAAGGGGTCGCCCTGAAAGTCCACGCCGAAGGCCTTGGCCACGAGGGCCGTGGCCAAGGCTGCCGAAGCTGAGGGCCGAGGGTGGGCCCCGGTCCCAGCTCCATCCTGCTCCTCCCTTCCCGGGTGCCTCGGGCAGGGCTCTCCTCGCGCTAAGCCTCCCGCTGGCTCTGTTATTCTTACAACCTGGGTGCTGAGAACCGCCTAACCTGCTCCTTGGGCCTGGCGAGCAGGGCAGCGTCCAAGATGCCAGGGCCACGTCGCTGAGCCCTTGTCCTGGGGATGGCATCTTCACAACTCCGACTGGAGCGACACTCTGACCTTCACACCTCCCCGGGAGGACGGGTCTCCACGGCCGGCCGCTGTTCCTGAAGTCAGCGTGCTCGGCGCAGCCAGCCCCTCTGATCGTGGGTGCGGGCTGGGTTCAATCTAAAACCTTCTGTGATGCTGATTCTGAGCTGGTGCTTAATAAAGAAACTGGTGTTGGGCAGCTGTGGAGTGGCGTGTGGCTCGGGGGGTGGCGCGGGGCCTTTGGGGTCCCAGGCTGGGCAGCCTGCTCAGGCCCTCAGCACTTCTGGGGTCTTGAGGGCACCGAAGCCTGCCGACCCTTCCGGGGAAACGGGGCTTCTCTCGCAGGGTACCTGCGTACGCGCTCCGAACACTCGGCCCCTTTTACCCAGGGCTCTAGGGGAAAACCTTCCTTTGGGTTCCTGACGCTGTGGTGGGGGGAGGTGGAAGCAGGCCCCTTCGACGCTGGGCCAGGGAGGGGGACCAGCTCAGCGCACCCCACACCTGCTCGAGCGCTTCACTCAGGGCCGCGAACTGTGGCTGCTGGGAGGCGAGGCCCAGCGGCCGCTGCTTGAAGAGGGAACAAGCCTCGGAAGCCCGTGGCACAAATTAGCATTTATTCCCTGGGTCCCAGGTCACTTCGCTTGGTAGAAAGGACAGAGTTGATCAGCTAAGTTTCGGACACAAAATCCTTCCCTAGAAATGGATCTGGTCTGTGAGGCTCCAGGAAGCTTCCCCCAGAGCTGCATAGAGATGTTGGCGTTCGGCTTACAGCGGCTTCCAAAACACGTGAGCGGATTGTCCCACTCCCCCCCCCTCTGCTGAAAAAGATCTCAAGTTTTTAAAAAGTTTAAAATGTGTTTTTTCTTTTTTTTTTTTTAAAAAAGGGATAAGATCTTAACCCAGCAGGTTGGGGTGGGGAGGAGGGGCCGAGCTGGACCGTGGTCCCTGCCCAGACCTGTGTCAGGAGGGCTCTGGGGGCGTTGCTCACCCGGTGCCTGCTGAATAAATAAGACTGTTTAGTGTCTTGAAAGTGCTCAGGCACGGAGAGGAGCTGGTGGGGCGGGCAGAGGCCCCTGGGGGCGGCTTCCAGTCTGGCCTGCTAGCCTGGGACGTGGGGCTCAGAGGAGGCTGGCGGGCCAGTGCCCGGGCTCCCCGATCCAGGTGGGGACAGCAGGTCTCTTCCAGCCTTCCCGGGCATGGCCGCGCTCAAGACGAGGTGGTCCCATCGCTGCTCTTGGGCTGGCTGCCAGCTTCCTTGTCTGGAGTTCCTGCCTCCGCCTGTGCTTCTGCAGAGAGGGTGGCAGGTGCACAGGTGTAAGCACAGAGGGTGTCCGGAAGGCCCAGGGGAGCAGGACAGCAGCGGCCCTAGGGTGGTGGTGGCCCGAGGGAACTTGAGCCTGGGCTGAAACATTTTTTTACAAAGATGTGTGTGGTGGCGCAAAGAGGCCTAGATGGCGGGTGGATGCCGGGCTGGTGGATTCTTTGCGGGTTCCCGAGAGCAGAAGAAACCGAAGCCCCAGGGAGGGTGAGCTCGGAGAGTGGGTCGTTTGTGAGACGGGTGGGGGCCTGGCAGGCCAGCTCAGGGAAGGTGGGCGCGGCAGAGGCAGCCCCTGCCCATCCTGGCCAGAGCCTCGGGCCCCGCCTTTACGTCCTCAGGCTTCACCCTCATGGACTCTGGGGGGCCACCCGCCAGCCAGGGCTGCCGAAGGGCCCCCACCCAGCAGCCCGGCAGCAGGAGGAGTGTCCTGCTGCAGAACTATGGAGAACGTGCAGAGGGGTGAGCCGAGGCGCCTGAGGCCAGTGGCGGGGGAGGCGGCCCGGCGTGTGATAACGGCAGCCTGCAACTGCCCGGGGGTGTCAGTGGACGGGAGCGGCTCCCCACCCCCCACTGCCTGCCCGGGGGCTCCTCAGTCCCGGGGTACCTCCAGCCCAGGCTCAGCCCCAGAGGGCCCCCGGAGCTCCCCAGAAGACTGACAAACTGGACAGGCGTGCGGCCAACTTCCCAGACTCGCACGCTGTGTGGCCCTGCGAACACGCCCACTGGAGCCCCGGGCCACCTCTCCTGCCTGGCCACTTCCTGGCGCAGGACCTCAGGCGAGCCGGCCTGTCCTGCAGCCTCTGCTTCCTGACCCAGACAGGAAGGACGGAGACGTCTCCATGGGCGTCGGGCTCACGTGCCGTGTCTGGTGTCTAACGACCAGGCTGGGGAGGCTGGGGAGGCTGAGGAGGCTGAGGAGGCTGGGGAGGCTGAGGAGGCTGGGGAGGCTGGGGAGGCTGAGGAGGCTGAGGAGGCTGGGGAGGCTGGGGAGGCTGGGGAGGCTGGGTGCTAAGGCTGCCCACGCCCCCAGTCTGCACACCAGTCTCCTGGGAAGCTTTAGGCCGCTAGATCTGAAGCCGGGCCTGCTGGATCGGACTCTGCTCCGTTCCTTCACTGTGTTCGCTGGCACCGAGCAGCCCCACAGCCCTGCCTGCCCAAAGCAGCAGTGCCTGACCTACTAGGAGGCTCCTCAGCCAGTCTCCCTGGCCTGCACCCAGGCTGCACTCGGAGTGAGTTCTTCCTCAGGTCTCCCTTAAAATACCAGTCGCCTGGCAGGCCAAAAAGTGCACCTGGGGGAGCCAGATGCTCAGGGGTGGTGACACAAGGCCTGGGTCCAGGGGCGAGGGGTCTGCTGGGGCAGGGACAGCAGCTTACCAGAGCTGAGGAGAAGGGGACAGGAGCCCGGAGAGCCGTGCCTGGCAGCACGCCTGGGTGGCCGCAGAGCATGGCCTCCAGCACGTGCCAAGCACCGCCAGGCACGGAGGGCACACGTGGGAGCAGCTCGGAGCCTGGAGGGGGGCTTGCCTACCGGGCTAAGGGCAGCCTGGCGGGGTGCCCGCAGGGCAGTCTGGGCGAGAAGGATGAGCGGGGCTGGGTTTGGTCCGTGTACGCCCGCCACAGGGACTTTGGAGAACAGTCCTTCGTGTGGTGGCTCAGAGGCACGAGGGGAGAAAGCCGAGAGCCCGACAGGCCACCCTGCAGGGACGGGGTGTGGGCGCCGGCGCCCCCTGGGACTACAAGAACTGCTGGGGGCCCCTGAGCAAACCAGCCTGCCCCCTCGGCCCGTGCCCCCACCACATCTGCGCTTAGGTGACCTCGGCCAGCTAGGGCCAGGAGGTCTGGCCTGGGGGGCGGCCGAGGGAAACGGGGCTGTACTTGCCGCAGACCGAAGCCGGCAGGCGCGGAGGGTTGGGGGCCGCAAGAGCAAGCCCCCAGCTGGGCAGGCAGGGTCCCCGAGCAGGAGCCCAGGGAGGAGGCTCCTGGAGGGGGCGGGGAGGAGGGCGGGTGCTGTTTCCTCTCTCACTCCTCACTCTGGTCTCCAGCCTCCCGCTCAGTGCCAGCTCGGCAGGAGGCCCCGTGCCCTGCAGCTTGGATTTAGAGCCAGCCCTTGTCAGAGCAAGGGGGTGACAGCAGGTTGGGGGGGGGAGGCCTGGGAGGGGGGGAGGCCTGGGAGACGCGACCGAGGCGGCCACTCTGCAGAGGGCCAGTGATAGGTGCTCACCCGTCCCCTCCAGGGCCAGCTCGCCCATGTCCCCAGCCAGCTTCCTCACGCTCACGGCCTCCGAGTCCCCCTGAATGTCGGCCACGGCGTTCCGACGGCCTGTGCGGTCACAGGAGATGAAATCCGAGTAGGAGGACTCGACCTCCATCATGCCTGTCGCATCGCTCTGCAGGCCTGTGGGGGCAGGGGCGGGAGGGCGGGGAGTCAGGCGCGGCCCAGAGAGATGACACTCGGCTCCCCAGGGCGGACGGAGCCTTTTAACACAAAGCTGTGCCTTTGGGCAATGAAGACGAAAGTACACAGAAGAGAAGCCGCCCCGCCCTGGCGCTGCTGGGCTGCAGGGCAGCATTGCCGATGCCACATGCAGCCCCAGCAGCCGAGTTCCTCTGCCGCCAGGGAGTGGCCCACACGGCGCAGCAGGCCTCTCCTGACCTGCCCTCAGCGGTGTGCTTCAGTCCACCTGCCTGTTCTGCTCCCCGCTCTGTCTCTGGTGAACCCTCTCACCGCCCCTGCACCTCTGGCCTGTACCCCAGTTCTAGGTACATAAATAAATAAATCTTCAAAAAAAAAGTCACAGCCAGGACACATGAGATTGTAAAGCAGGTCCACCGGTCTGTTACCTCTGACCTGCGGAGGAGGGTGAGCAAGGCAGCCCAGCCCCGGGCGTCCCTGGGAGTGGCCCCTGTCATCCAAGAGCCTGCCCCAGGCACTCAGGGATCCTGAGTAGGAGGCTGGCGCCCAGGGGAGGGCCAGAGGGTGACAGCACTGCCCACGCAGGGGGCAGGGGCGAGGGAAGAGCTGGGGCGGCATCCGGCGCCGGAGGGCCTAGGGCGGGCCCTGCAGACAGTCAGGTGCGTGGGGGCGGGGAGGGCCGTGGCCAGACAGTGTGGGTTTGCTATGGAGGGGATCCGCAGCCCGTGGTGCGGGACGGTGGCGTGGGCCCTGTGACACAAAGGAGCAGCGCTGTGGGGGGCGGGGGTGGTTTGCAGACAGGAACTGTACTGGGCCTTGTGGATCTGCCCGGCACCCTGCAGGCGGGGCGGGGAGCGGCGCAGCGGGTGCCTGCAGATGGGGGTGTGGGATGGAAGTTGGGGGTTATTTCCCCAGAGAAGGTGGTTAGCACACAGCCCCGCTGGCTGGAATACGCCCTGCGGAGAGATTAGAACCACGTACACAGCATGAGGAAGGCCTGTAGGAGTCACACCGTACAAAACATCCCAGTGCCGTGGGACACGCTAGCACGTCAGGGGTCAGGGCTCCCCACGGGGGATGTGGCCCCAGCGCCGCCAGACGCGCCTGGCCTGGCCCGGCCTGGCCGGTGTCTGCTGTCAGCACAGCGCTACTGCGCAGTTGCCACAGTTTTCTGCAGGCAGCGCACGGTCATGTCCATCTGAGCGCCCGTCCCTCGTTACTTCCTTAGCGTATGTTCTTGGAAGGGTCGCTGCTGGGCTCACCGGAAGGGCAAACTCATTCTGAAGACCGTGTTCACATGACGGAGTTCCCTTCCTGATGGAAGTGGTGGTCACAATGCCAGAAGTCTGAGGGGTGCAGTTCCTCTTTCCACCCGCCCCCAGCACAGCCGCACAGAGCCCTGTCTGTGCTCCCAAGGCAACGACAGGCGTGCGCAGTGAGCAGGCCCCTGCCGGGGACTAGTCGCTCGTCTGGCATCTGCGGCTTTCTGAAGGCAGCAGGCAGTCGCGGCTACTCGGCAGGCCCTGAACTGGGGAGTGGGTGGGCGGCCAGTTAGGTGCACCACCATGTAGGTAGGTGTGACCGTGACATCAAAACCTGACAAGGACACCACAGGGAACCTGGAGGTCAGTATCCCGGATAGAGAGATGTCATAAGTCACCATCCAGTGGCTCATTGCAGGGGTGTGAGGTGACCCGGCACCTACAAACAGAGGTGAGACATTGATAAAAAAAAAAAAAAAAGGCTAAGTCATGTCAACAGGGGTAGGAAAAAGGCATTTAACAAAACTGAACACCCATGTATGGTAAAGCTCAACAAAGGGCGTAGAGACGGGCATGTACCCCAACATAACCAGGCCATGTAGGTCAGGCCCTCGGCGGACAGCAGATTCAACAGTGAAGAACTGGACTGTTTTCCTCTAAGATCAAGGAACAAGACAAAGATGCCTTCGTGGTCTTAGAACAATCAGGCAAGAAAAAGAAAACACATCCAAATTGGAAAGGGAAGTAAAACTTAGTATTTGCAGACAACATGATCTACATAAAATCCTGTTTCCACGGGAAATAAAACCAATAAACGCAGTAAAGTTGCAGGATATACAAGCAGCAGACAAAGATCTGTGGCTTTCTGTGCAATAATTAAAAAACTGTCAGAAAACTTTCAGAAATTAAGGAAACAACCCCACTTACAGCAAAGCATACCTAGGAATAAATTTAACAAGGCTGTGAAAGTCCGTTTTTACTACAACAGTGTGAAAAAAATAAGGCACAGATAGATATTCTGTGCTGAAGGACTGGAAGGATCAATGTTAAAATGTCTTCACTTCAGCAGCCAGTTAAACTGACTCTCTCTTGTCCTCATCTGGGTTGCCCAAAGGGACTTTAGAGACAGCCCTTTCTGGTGGACAGGGCTGTCTGGCCTCGTGTTGTTCCCAGGTATGTGGGGTACCTTTGGGAAGCCCTAGGGCACTGTGGCCATCTGCACTGAGCTGCAGAACAAGGAGCAGGTGAATGTGGCTCCACATAAGGCCAAGTTCAAAAACTACACCTCCAGGAAGGAGGACTTGACCAAGTCTAATGTGGAACTTGCGGATGTGGTAGTCGAAAAGTGGCTTATCTCAGCTGGCTGTGGAGTCAAATAGATCTGCAATCTGACTCCCAGCATAATGGCAGACCTGTACTCATGAGAGCCTGAGAGCCGTCCTCACCTGTCATACCTGCCAGTAAACCCTACTTCCTATGGCAAAACAAAAAGTTTACACTACCCAAAGCAGTCGACAGCTTCAATGCAATAGCTATCAAAATCTAATGGCATTTTTCACAGTAATAGTACAATCCTAAAATTTGTATAGAGCCACAAAGACCCTGAACTAGCCAAAGGAATACTGAGAAAAAAGAACTATCACGGAGGCATCACAAACCCTGGTTTGCAACTATATCACGAAGCTATCGTGATCAAAACAGTAAAGTACTGACATTAAAAGCAGAGCCATGGAACAGAATACAGCTCAGAAATAAACCCATACATATACAGTCAATTTATAACAAAGGCACCAAGAATACAATGGGGGAAAGGATAGTCTTCTCTCCAATAAACTGTGTTGAGAAAACTGGACCATGACTTCATGCCATGCACAAAAATGAACTCAATGTGGAGTCAGGACTGGAAACCATTAAACTGGAAGAAAACAGGTGGCCAGCTCTATGATACTGGTCTTGGTGATGACTTTTGCATCTCCAGAAACAAAGGCAACCCAAGCCGTAATACACAAGCGGACGCCACCATCAAACTACAAAGCTGCCGCACAGCAACCTACAGAGTGGGAAGGGATATTTGCAGGTCATGTATTTGACAAGGTGCTAATATTCAAAATAAAGAATCCAAAAAAACCCATCTGACTAAAACTGGACAGATCTGAATATTCTTCCCCCGAAGACAGACAATGAAAAGCTGCTCAGTGTCGCTAACCTTCAAGAAACACACATCCAAACCACCTCACACCTCACGCCTGGTGGAATGGCCACTGCAGAGAGACGAGGCAGGAGGTGCCTGCTGTGCGCTGCTGGTGTGGACATGAACTGGTCCAGTAGCGTGCAACCAGCAGTTCCACTTCTGCTTGCTTGTCTGCAGAAAAGGAGAACAGATACGCTGCCTGCCGCCGTGTGGACGCAGCATCAATTACGTAACCAAGATACAGAAATAAGAACCCCTCCGTGGAGGACGGTAAGGAAAACAGTGACCCAGATGCACACGTACATGTGTGGATGTGGATGTACACATCACAGTGGCAAAGGACACTCGCCAAGTGACATGGGTGGAACTCAAGGGAACTATGCCAGGTGAACACATCCGACGAAGACAAACAGCAGGTGATCTCACTGATATGTGGACTCTGAGGGGAAAATACGCTCAAGCGCAGAGAACAGACTGGAGGTTGTCAGAGGTGGGGCGGGGTGAAGAGGGGACAAATGGCCCGAACTCCTGGTTGGAAAAGTCTGGGGTGGCGAGAAGTAGTCAGCAAGGGGCCTCTAGTGTATCACACTGTAGCACATATTTGCAAGTTGCTAAGAGAAGAGTTGATCTTAAAAGTCCTCATCGGGAGAGAAATTCTGGAACACACAGTGACCGTGAATGTTAACTAGAAGTTCACACATGTCAAATGTGAATCTTTGTGATTAAGGGGAACTTCCACTTTCTAAGGCTATTTTTGTAGTAGCTGAAGTTTTTATAAGCCCAAGCAGTCGTCTGATGTTCTCAGAAGGTATGAGGCATTGGGCAGGAAGTGCCAGGGTGGGGTTCCGTCAGAAACACAAAGTGTGTGTAGGGGGTCTCAGAAGAGACACCTAAGAAACTGATTAAGTGCACCCAGAGATCAGGCAGGAGAGACAGAGAGGCGTCCTGTAGGAATTGCTTCCTGCAGCAATTCCCAAGATCTCCAGCAGAGGACGCGCCCAGCCCACTTTTGAAAAGTTACCTTGTGATGCGTCCCTGAAGTCCCCAAAGGTGCTCCCTTGGGCAGGTCACTTCAGTTACCACACTCTCACTCCGGGGGAAATCGCTCAAAGTTGCAGAAAGGGGAAATGACCTGTTGCAATAACTGTAATAAAGAAAAAGACACGACTATTCTAACCATAAAGAATATGGTTACTTAATGGCCACCCCTCACCCCCAAGGCCAGGGAGGGAAGGTGCCCATGACACAGAAAGGGTTCAGGCAGAGCCGCCTGTTGCCAGAACTGGTCCTCCGCGTTATACCCGCTGCCTGAATTGTCCCCTTAGCTCTTTTCCTCCCATGAGGATGTAGCTGGTGAGGACAGCCTTTCAGGAGAGCACGGCTAATTCTGGCAGCCTGAGTCCCTGTATTCTGGCTGCTCCCTTCTAGATCCTCAACCAGTGTCTGCCTCAAGAAGTGCTTGAATTCATCTGAATCAAGTTGTCTGTCCACCTTTCAGATTGCTGTCTTCCCACTCTCCCTTCTCCCCCCCACGGTGGGAGATAAAGGGCCTGTCCCAGCATGGCCGGAAGGCCCCACGCCCTGCCTGCAATACTCTTGTCTGGTATCTCTAAGATCTGACTCAGGCTCCATCTACCAGGCCGGCTTCTGCTGGAACAGATGCCCCTGGTATGGGCCTTCCTTCTGTTCCTGTAGGCGCTGCCCAGTGAAGAAAGCTGAGCCCTTGGCTCAGAGGGGGCAGCGTGCAAGCTCAAGGCTCAGTCCTGGAAACCCCCATGGAGCCAACCTGCTCTACGGCACCTGCCCCACCCCTCGGGAACAGGACTTCCTTAGACTGCAAAGCAAGTACATAATCTTGCTTTTGCCCAATATTTGAGTAATCTCATTCTCTGTTCTTTAAGGTCAGCATTAAACTGGGAAATGAAAAAAAAAAAAAAACTCTCAGAGTTGGCAGTCCAGTCAGAAAATGGCCCTTCTCAGGCCGTTCATGGGACTGGAAACTGCCAGGACCTCTTACCCTGAAGATGTTGCAGTCCTGATGATAACAAAACCCTAGAAACAGACCTACGCCCACAGGCGGTCAATTCTTTTTCCTGGCTGCGCGGTATTCTGTTCTCTCATGGTGCAGACTGGTATTGAGGGACCTTGGGGAATGTGTCCATGAAAGCTCAATCACCACATTAAAGGACCTGTGTGTACACTCCTCTACGTGTAAAGCAGAGCTTATTTCATTCCCACTGGGCATATACTGGCAGCAAGCGGTCACACCACACTCTCGTCAAGTATCTTCTCCCCCAACCTGCAAGCTCTGGTCATTTTCCCTTTTATTGCTCCTGCGGGTGAACCTGACTATCTTTCCACATGTATTTCTTTCTTTCTTTCTTTTTTAGCATTTTTCCAAATAACTTTTATTTTTGATTTGCTTATTCTTTTTAAAAAATATAATAGTTTATTTTTACATCATTTTGTACTTTTTTTTTTTCATCTCAATTGTAATCCCCGCGGGTTTCCCATCACCAAGTCACCTCACCCATGTGCCATCACCATAGTCCCGTGCATTTCCCTCAAACCCCCCCCTCTCCGTTTTTGGTCCCATTCCCCACTCCACCCCCACAGAATGTCTCTGGTATATGGTTGTTCATTATTCTTGTTATTTTCTCGCCTGGTCCATTATACTCCTACTATGAGCGAAACCATCCGGTATTTCTTTCTCTTTCTGGCTTATCTCATTAAGCATGAGCTTTTCCAGCTCCATCCAAGTTGCTGCAAAAGACAACCACATGTATTTTTTTTCTGTGCCCTGGCTGTTTATATTGTTTTGCCAATTTTTCTAACAGGACTGTAACCTGTTTATTATTAATTTGGAGATGTTCTTTACATATTAAAGAAATTAGCCTTCCGGCTTGAAGAGTTACAGGTATTTCTAACTTAATTTTTGGCATCTTTCCCTATGCACTTCTGTTCATGCAGTCAGACTGATGCATGTTTCATGATTTCTGGGTTCTGAATCACACTTTGAGATGTCTTTTCTACTCTAAGAATCCCCCCTCATTTATTTCTTATACTTTTACAGCTTCATTTCTCACATTTAAAATCCTTAATTGATCTGGAATCTATGTGCTATAAAGTATAAGTTAGAGTCCACCTTTATTTTTTCCTACTTACCTCAAGTTCGTTTATGGAATAATCAAATTGAAAAGGTTCAGGGAGCTCATCTAGAAAGCCTTTCATTTACAGCTAGAAAAAAATGAGGTGTAGAAAGGGAAAGTGACCTCCCTCCCCCCACCCCCCAAAGTCCTTAAATCTAAGGGTTTGAACTCCCGGTCCAGAGCGCTGTCTCCCTCACCACACCACCTCCTCAGAGGTCCCCAGGGACCCTACACATCTGAGAGGGTGGGGTGGGGGAGGCCCCTAGTCCAGATTTCCCTGTTTACAAGCTGGAGGCCAAGACGCTTCACCTCTCTCCATATTAAAGGATCCAGGACAGGCACAACAGCGTGGGCCAGGGGCTGTGGTGAGATGAGGGAGATGACATGGCGTCCGAGAGGCTCTGTGGAAGGCCCACGGTCAACCCATCAGAATGGTCTCTTTCGTCGGGGGACTTGTCAGGACAACTGTCCTTTTGACATTTTCATTCAATCTTTTGTCCTCACACGGTGCCGAATAGTGCAGAGAAGGTCAACAGTTAACCTCGTTTGGCGCAGGGAAGGAAGTCCCACGTGGCTGGCGTGCACACTGTGGGACCCGAGAGGCCCAGCACATAGCTGAAGCTCAATGAATGTTGGGTGAACGAATAATAGAAAATGTTCTAGATTCCGGGGTAGAGAGAGCAAAGGCAGCCTGGCATCTTCACCGCACAAGCTCTGTGTAGCAGGGTGACCTGCTGCTCCCCCCAAGAGTCCCTTCTCTCCCGGTTTCCATTCCCCCACCTCCCACTACTGAACAATGAAGGCTAAAACATGATCCGTTCTGACCCTTCCTCCCTTTCTTCTCTCTCCCTCTCCCTTGCTCGTTCGCTTCTTCTTATTCCCTCACCTTCTACAGCCCAGGCATGGGTATGCATCATGCTTACAATGACCTTGGCAGTCTGATAAGAGGGAAGGGCATTGCCAGGTAAGAGAATCTACCTCCTATTGTGCTCAGGCTGTGGATAGCGCGGCTGAGGGCAGTGTAGTCATGGAAGGCTTCCTTGAGGAGGCAGCTTTGGGCTGAGATTCACAGAAAAGCTGGCTGGAAGGTGATCCAGACAGAGGCAACAGCCAGTCTGGGTCACACTGATGTGCTCCCGCTCCCCGCTGGTCTGGAGCCCTGGGGCCGTCCAGGAGCGGAAGCCTTCATCCCTGCTCCTCCCCAGAAAGCTCAGCTGCCCCCCGGGTCTGGGAGCCAGGAAGGTGCCTGCCTGGCCTGAAGGCCCAGGGTGGAACGCAGGCGTCTGGGGCTTGGCTTCCTGGACCTTGCCATCCCAGGCAGCGGCTGCAGCGCCCACAGTACTTATGTCAGGGTCCCCCGGGAAGCATGCTCCTGCCCTGGTTTGAATTTCCCCCCAACTTTGTAAACGGAAGAGGCCCCAGGCTCTGCCAAGAGCCACAAGCTCTGTTCCAATTTGCAGCCCTCAGTCCTCACGGCTTGGGCAGGTCCCAGTACAGCTCCAAACTGTTTTCCAAATATTCCAGAAAGGTCATTTCCTGTGTTTTTGGTGTTTTTTTAAATCAAGTATTTGCAAAGGCCATACAAAAAAACAAGCAGATAATTTTACAGTGGCCAGAGCAGAGAGGGGGCTCTGGGAGAAGACGACTTGCTGGGGGGAGGGGAGACGGGGGAGCCTCTCAGCCATGGGAGCTCCATGGAGACACCAAGGCCTGTGGGGGGGGGGGGGCGTTCCTGATCCGAGGGGAAGCGGCTGCTCTCTGTGATGCGAAGGCAGGACACAGACACCGAGGTGGACAGAGAAGTCGGGGCCCAGACATGCACATTCCGAGACGCTGGGAAAGGAGGGGCGTGAGGCCTGGGGGGCGGGCGCCACGCTCCTGTTGGTGTCGTTAGGGCGCCTGCAGTGCAGAGCCCAAGCCAGGCTCACTGGCAGCAGCCCCCAGGGAGCGGCCCGGAGAAGCAGCCAGGCAGGCCTGGAAGAGAGGACTGGGCCAGGCGGGGTCCTCAGAGACCTCCAGGTGCCCAGTCCTGCGGTCAGCTCTGTCCTCTCATGACTCGCAGGTGTCAAATGACGCTCCCCGACGACACAGCCCTGGGTCTCTCTTCCCCGCCTGGACGCCACAGCTCAGCCTCTCCACAGCCAGGGACCTTAACGTCAGAGGCGCCAGGGCCAGGCCTGAGTCCACCCCTTTCTCCTGGGGGTTCTTCTCCCGGCATGTGTCAGTGACTCCCCAGCAGTCCTGGCCTCTGGGGTGGCCAATCTGAGCTGGCCCCTGGACATGGTCCAGTATTTGACTCCACCAGCCTGCTCCCTCCAGCCTCCTGGGTCATGAGGCACCATCTGAGGGGCCACTCAGGCCGCAGGCCGGGAGTCGGGGACTCCTGGCCCCGCTCACACTCACGAGCGTGCTGCCCCATGGGCCAGACACCTTGGGTCTGCCGCCCTCCCTCCACACGCCTCACCTGGCCTCCATCCCTTCACACCGGCAGCACGGCTGGTGGGCCTCCTCCCTGCACGCCTGCTGCCCCGGCCCCTCACCCACGGTCTGTTTCCACACCAGCAGCAGGGAGGTGTTGGCAGACCAGACACCGGGCGTGTGACTCCCCTGCTCTGTTCAACCTTTGATGCTTCTCCCATTCCACCTGGCAAACTCCAGATTCTTCACCCCAGCCCTGCACTGACCTGACCCTGGCTCCCTCTGTGACCTTTGGCCTCCTTGGCCATTTTGCCCTGACCACACTGGTCTCTCTAATTCCTCAAACCAGAGAAGCTCTTCTGAACCTTGGGGCCTTTGCAAGCCTCGTCCAGAGCCCACTGTTTCCTCCTCTTTACAGAGCCTCCTATGTGGGTTCTGGTTCTGGCTGTTCAAGTGCTCTGGCTCTCGGGCCCTGGCATGGCCCTGGCAGGCGTGACACCCTCCCCCATTCCCTCCCCTTGCACCAGTGCACGGGGGAAAGCCCAGCTGAGCTGCCGAGGCCTCCGAGCCTGGTGGACACGGGACAGTCTCCTGGCTGCAGCTCCCGTCCTGGGTTGTCACAAATGCCTTGAAAGGTGCGGGGTGAAGGTGAGCTGGCAGTGATGGAGGCCCTCCTGCAGGCCAGGTGCACCAAGCACCCCACAGGCAGCCCCTCACCTGACTTTGCAGCCGCTCTGTGAAGCACTAGGCGTTGTTATTCCTATCCCACAGCAGCGGAAGCCGAGGTGCTGGGAGGAGCACGAGCTTGGCCCAAGTGGTGAGCGGCGGAGAGGCAGCGTTGGGCTGCGAGGTGTGGAAACCACTCGCAGCATGCCGGCCCCAGTTTGTAAGGATTTGGGTCCATTTCCTTTTCTCCCCTCTTTCCTCCTTTAGCCCCAATCTCACTATAAGTCATTTCTAAGGGAAGAGCAAGAACGCAATCAAGTCCGGGGAAAACATTCCAAAATGCTGGCTGGAACATTCCCGGGATGCCTGAATTCTGCTTTCCGTTCCCTAACCCCGGCTAGCTTCGGTTATCCGGACACGCACGCGCCAGCAGCTTCCCTCACCCCGTGGCAGGGCACAGCCAGAGCGGCGCGGCCGCCACGCCAGACTCCGGTCCCTGCACGAGGCCGCGCCACGGCGCCCTCCGCCAAGAGCAGCTGGGGGCTGGGCGGGGGCGGGGGGCCAGGCCCTCTGGGCCCCCCAGGCCTCCTGCTGCTTCCACACTGCCAAGGGTTCAGCTCCAAAGTAAAGTTCCCAGCCTGGCAGCCCCATCACTGCCCAGGGAGGGAGAGTGAGGTCACGCCCAAGCAGGCCGGACTGAGCCCCAGCTCTGCTGACGCCGCTGGGTGCCCCACGAGGTTGGTCCCCCTCAGCCTGGTCTCAGTTGGGCATCTCGGGAGCTGCCTTTGGAAGACGCTGCACGTTCTCGGCGCCCTCCCGAGACGGGGTCTGCTCTGCGTCTTCTTGAGGGAGCCAACGGAGTGTCCGCTTCTCACTGGGAGGAGGCACAGAAGTGAAGGTGTGCGCTCCCCGACGGCGTGAGGGAAGGCCGCACAGCCCCCAGTGCCTCTCGGCACACGCTTGTCTCGGAGCTGCGAGGTGCAGGCAGCTCGGCGGAGGCGGCGTTCCTCGGGAACGCGCCCTTGCAGAACAGCGGGCAGCTGGCAGCCCGTGGCTGTGCTGGCCACTACTGAGGCCTGGGCGGTGCAAGCCCGAGTCACCAGCCACGCTGCTCCCGAACTCCTGGCCACAGACACCATGACAAGAAATAAAGCGCTGCTATTTGTGGGTCTGCTAGACGCAAGGCGGCCTGGTGGGCCACATCCTTTGTTACCTGCAGTTCTGAATTCCTGCACAAGGTCAGAAGGTATCAGTCACGGCCGAACCTCACTAGACGCCTTTCCAAGCAATCAAGGGCAGAGAGCTCCAGCACCCTAGGGGGTGCATCACGGGGTGTGGCTGGGAGCACCCCGGGCTCAGGACGAGGGCCCCAGAAGCTGATCAGTGGACCGCCTTGTTGATAAGATGGGAACCGGGGCGGGGGGGCGGGTTGTCAAGCAGATAAGAATGCTCTGGCCAGCAGACCCCACATCCCCTGAAGTTCTAGACGACAAGACGCATCCTTCAGCCTCACCCATCTTTCCTCCTTCCCCTCACAACTGATGTCCTACGCTGACTATCAGGAGAAAGGCCGGGTCTTGCTCTTCAGCAGCGTCCTCACTGCGCACCTGCCCCTGCAGGTGTCAGGTGGCGTCGCTGACGCAACAGCTGTCGTATTTTTAAACCGCCAAGTCTGGGGGCCAAAGGCAGCAAAGGGCGCCCAGGGTGATGGCTAATGTGACCCTTTCCAGTTCCTCAGAGTTCCACACAAAGCACACCCCAGGCCCACTGTGGAGAACAGAAAGAAGCAAGACCTCACCTCTGTAACAATCGCTCATTCACACAATTATCTTGCTCACCCAGGAAGTGCCAGCCCTGACTCAAGGCCACA